TTCTTGGGGGGCAGTCACATAGCAGTCTGCTGCGGCCCCAACACGCAAGTTAATGACCAGCATTGCTGCCGGGGGCATTCGAGCCGCCACAGCCGGTGTGCGGCTGTGCACTGCCACCTGCCCGCGGCTACGCACAATGTGCGCTCGCATTGGATGAGCCCTGCTGATGGACCTGCGTCGCCTAGCTGCACGAGAGCAATGCCGCAGGCGGCGGCCGTGGCATACACTGCGAGCACACTCGGTGCAGCTGCGAGGTGCAGCAAGAGCACGTCGTTCCTGGCTGCCTCTGATGCCACTCTCGCGGCTTGTAGCGCGTCACTCGCGCTCTCCAGGAGCTATGGCGGGCGCATGTGTTGGGGCTGTGTAGCCTGTGTTTGGCCGGTTCTGACCCCGGCCGTTTACTATCAGTACCATGCCTGGGCCACAATAATCGCACACGGGGAGCGGCTCAGGGACCCAGTAAGCCGCGGAATCGCCAAATGTCACAACCCGGCTCACCCAGGGCTGGACCTAGTCAGGACTACCCCAACCGCCCCATCCGGCCGCCTCCCTTGCCGCGCCGAGGTTGGGCGCGCGTGTGATCACACCGTGTGGTGCGCGGTGCGCGACACGTTTTGTTTGAATATTCCACCGACGGGACCGTGCTTTCTTTCATGGCGGAACGGCGGCCAAGGGCCCGGCCGCCGCGTGCCGTGCCGTCTCCGCGTGTATCGGCCGCCCGAGGGCGCGCAGCGCGGCCAGACACAGCGCGTTTCCCTCTGCGTGCGCGGCCGGGTGCCCACCAGAGGCGACGGCAAAGAGGGAGACCGACTCGTGGAACTTATCCGCGTCGACGGCCGAACCGAAGACGGTCGTGCTGGGAGCGCCCTTCTCGAGGAGGTGCACTGCCGCCCGGGTGATCTCGAGCAGCCGCGGTCCCAGCGTCGGGTGGTGGAGCCACGCGAGTGCCGCCCCAGCATCGTGCAGCGAATACTCCGGCTTTCCTGTCGTCCGCACCTTGGAGTAGGCGGGCCAGATCCACCAGATCCAACAGGACCGCTTGCGGCCCGCCTGGATCTCGGCCAGCGCGTGCGCGTAGCCGCTGCGCGCCTGCGCCTGCGCGCGCACGGCGAGGTCCAGCGCAGAGGGCCGCTGCTCGGGCGAGAGCGCCGCCACGCCGCCGCCGCCGCCGCCGCCGCCGCCGCCGCCGCCGCCGCCGCCGCCGCCGCCGCCGCCGCCGCCGCCGCCGCCGCCGCCGCCGCCGCCGCCGCCGCTGCCCCCGCTGCCCCCGCTGCCTCCGCCTCCGCCGCTGCCTCCGCTGCCTCCGTTGCCGCCGCTGCCGCTGCCGCTGCCTCCGCTGCCGCCTCCGCTGCCTCCGCCTCCGCCTCCGCCAACCCTCGCCCACCCTCGCCGGGCTGCCGCGAGAAGGGCTTCCCGCTGCGCCGGGCCGAGGTCGCTCGGTGCGTACCACCTCTTCTGGCCGGCGTCCCACCTGGCGCCGAGTGCCTTGGCCGCCTCTTTGTGTTTGTAAGGGCACTCGATGTACTGCCGCGCGCCGCGAGCTCTGACGCCGCCGCCGCCGCTGGGAGCCGCGGCGTGGCTCCGCTCCCCCAGCCAGCCGTCAAAGAGACGCAGCGCACGCTGCAGCCGCTGGTCCTCGCCCTCGCCCGCGGGCAGCCTCTCGCACGCCGACATGCCCTCGACGCGAGAAACGTAGGCCTCGTGTGCCGGCCACACTGCCGCCTCGACGTACTCCCGCGCGTCCCTGTAGCACTGCGTTGGGAAGTCACCCCTGCCGTTCTTGCGAGCTTGGCGGCGTGTCGCCACGAGCTCCTTGCTGCATTCGACCCACAGGATGTGATCAAACAGCTGCCGCGTCTCCGGCAAACAGTCGAGAAGCAAGTAGCCGTCGACCACGACGCATGCGCAGCACGAGCGGGCGTCGAGCAGCGATGCGTGCAGCTTTGCAAAGTCGGTGAACTGAGGGCCCTCCCACGTCTTCCGCCCATCCGGCAGCCGGTTGTGGGATGAGCGCCGCCGGTGATTGTCCTGCTCGACGTGCTCAACGCTCACAGTTCTCGCGAGCCGCTGCACGAGTTGCCTCGCGAGGGTCGTCTTGCCCGAGCAGGACGCCCCTGTGATGGCCACGACGAGCGGGCCGCGGCTCGCTTCGGAGGCGGAGGCGCGCTGGCGCTTCGGCTCGTTCATCGGCGCGTCTGTATATTGCCTCGGCGTTGTTGTTTGTGAATTCCCTGTGTGGGTGCCGTCCTCCCATTCCTCCCTTCCACGCGCCCCTCAGGAGCTTAGGTAGAGTGGATGGAGCGTCCCAGACGCCTCGCTCGGTGCCTCCCACCGGCGTGAAGACCATCCGGATCAGCCCAGTACGCCCTCCGGGCGAACGGTCCCCGCGATGGCCCACGGTCCTCCGTCGCCTGGTTGGTCGAACCCCCTGCCTCCCTGTTGACCCCCCAGACAATCTCTCTCTCTCTCCCCCCCCCAGTCCTCGTACTCGACCATCAAATAAAGTCAAAAGGTCCACCACCGCCTCCAGCCTCCACCTCCACCGTCGAGCCGCGATCGCTGCCGCGGCCCGCGACGCGCGCGTCGACTCGAGTCGGAGAGCCGCGCCGCACCAGCAACAGCATCTGCACCAGCAGCAGCACCAGCAGCAGCACCAGCAGCAGCAGAGAGAGGCGCCAATTTTGAGGTTGCCCGAGACAGCCTGGAAATGGCCCCGCGTTGTAGCCCCGGTGCCGGCGCCTCACATCTCAGCATCGAGGGGCCGGTTCCACACACACACAGACAACTCTAACACTCACACGTCATTTGGGGCCTGTCTCTCTCTCACACACAGACACACTTTCTTTCTTTGCGAAAATGTTCTTCTTTATCAAGTGTATTCTTTTTTTGCTTGGGCGGACCTCATCACGGGGTAGGTAGGGTAGGTCTGGGCCCTCCCGTCGGGGTTTTCCCTCTCTTCACGCTGGAATTTTCACAGCAGAAAAAGAACATTTCCGGGGAAATCACGATGTCAAACGTCCCCAAATGGGTGATCTGATGCTTGTAGGGCCTGAGAGTGGCCTGCCATGTCACAGGAAGGACTGTGGTTGCAGGAGAGTACCTTAGGCTGAATATACTTTTCCTCTCGCACCCCGTCTCTTTTCCTTTCCTTTTTTCTCTACAGCACCCTCTCTTTTCCTCTCTATTTTCCCGGGGAAACCATCAAATTTTCCGGGCTCTGAGCCGAGTCTGAGGCTGGTTTGGGGCCAAAATCAGCCAAATCGGCAAAATACCGGGTATTTTGCGGGTATACCTGGAAAATACCCTGCGACCGCCTGGCTGGGTATCGTGCCGATTTCCTCAATTTTGCCTCAGATTTTGCCCCAGACCAGCTCTCAGACTCAGGGAAACTCGCGAGTTTCCAGAATGGAGCACCAAACACCCTCTCTCTGTTTTCCCTGGAAATTTCCGGAAACGCAAAGTGCTGGGGACCCTCTGTTTTCCTTTTTGTTTTCCGGAAAAGTATATGCAGGCCAAAGAGTACCACCACCCATCACTTTAGTTGGTATAGTAAAGAAAGAAAGAAAGAAAACAGACAACCCAAGGGAGGGATGGGAGGACGGCACGCCGCCACCACACAGGGATTTTAAGGAGAGGTGTGTGGTGCGCTAGCCGTCGCGGCCACCCTAGGGAGTCTGCCTCTTCCTATCTCTCTTCGCAGTCTCTCGCCGATTCTCGCTGCAACCTTCATGCCACCTCGCGGTCGTCCCACTCTCGTCGTTCTCTCCCTTGTCATTTCCTCCTCTGCCGCGTCGTTCTCTTCTGCCTCGTCCTGTGACGCCGCCGCCTGCCGGTCCCTTGTTCTCGCGGCTTCTTTCGCCTTTCGGCGCAACTCCGTCCTCCTCGCGGCGTATCCTGGCCCCTCGAGTCTATCGAGCTCCCCTCGCGCAAGGACCACATTTCTGACTCCCACTCCGATCATTTGTCTACAGGTCATGTTGTTACTCAGGTCCACTCTCTCTTCGAACACTCGTGCCTCTACGGATGATGCCGGCGCTGGGGTCCCCTTCGGATGCATCGTGACATCTGACAACTGGATTTCCACTGGTTCGTCCTCCTCGGAGTCGTCTTCCCCCGCTGCCTTCCGCTCGGCTCTACGTTCGGTACGTTCGGCGTGGCTCACCCTCCATGCCGTGAACAGGCGCTTTATCCACCCTATATTCTTCTCTCGTTCCTCTGCCCGTGCCTTGGTCTTGTCGTTGTTTCGCACCCATGTCTGTATGGCAATCGAGGCTGCCTTCCCCACTACCTGTAGTTCACTCGTCACCTCTCCCGCGAGCTCCCTTCTCTTTCCTTAGTTGGTATAGTACCCCACCTTCACCCATCCCATGATTTCTTTTTTAGTTTCCCATAAGTAGGGTAGGTAGGTAGGTAGGTAGGTAGGGGCACCGCAGGGGCCGGTCAGGGTGCGTCCGCCGAAGCAAAAAAAGAATACACCCTTCTCATGTTCAAATGCGGCTGGCGAAAGGCTCGAAGGCGGGCTCCCCTGACGGGGGCCAATCAACGGAGCAGTGTCATGGGCGCCCAGGGCTCCAAAATGCCGTGTCCGACGCTGAACTACTTCTCGATCTGCGGACGAGGTCTGCGTCCGACGACTCCCATTCCTCTGCACTGAGTGAGACCGCGGATGGCGGCGTCGGCGCCACAGCATCACGTACCGAATTCCGTACCCCCCCACCCCGTCTCCGCACCTAGACACGAACCCTCCGCCGCGGGCCTCCGCCGCGATCACCGGCGCCCGCCCTCTTCCGCAGGCGAGCTCGCGCGCCTGATCTGTGCCCTGGGCGAGGTCGAGTTCGAGGACAAAACGTGGGCACCCGCGTTTGACGAGTCGGGCGGGTGGCGGCAAGGCTACCAGGCGATTGGGAACGCGTTCGGCTTCCCCGGCACCATGCCCGTCCTCGAGCACGGCGACCTCAAGCTCTTCCAGACGGCTGCGATCGAGTCGTACCTGGCCTCCATCGCGCCAAAGGTCTTCCCTGGCCTGACGCCGGCGCAGAAGGGGAAGGACATGATGTTTGCGCAGATCAAGGCGGACATCAACGCCTCGACCGAGAGCCTCCTCTTCAAGAAGATTGACGGGCCCGCGCTGACGGAGATCTTGGAGAAGTGGTACCCAATTTTGGAGGGCCTGCTTCCCGAGTCGGGATTCGTCAACGGGCTCGCGACGCCGACCATGGCAGACCTGGCCGTGCTCGTGATCGCCAAGGGCTGCATGCCCTTCCAGGCCGCGCCCAAGCTCGCGTCCTTCGACACGGTGAGCAAGTACCCCAAGATCAAGCGCGTCGCCGACGAGACGGCCGCCTTCCCGGCGATCGCAAAGTTTCTCGCCGCCAGCGAGCACAAGACACTGACGGCCGACCCGTTCGGCATCATGGGGTCGTAGGCCAAGCGTCGGGGCGCAGCCGCCCGCCCCCCCAGCCTAGGGCGACAAGGCAGGGAGGAGGACGTGAGTCCGACCCGGTTTGTCACAGCGCCTTCGATCTTGACCTTCCCCTGGCGGCTGCACTTTCTGTGTTGTGATCCTGTAGCATAGGTGACTAGCTAGGTGTCAACGTTGTCAAGAGGGAGAGGGGAAAGAAAGAATACATAGGGTGGGATGCCTCACTGCCTCAGACGCTGCTGCTGCTGGCCTGCCTGCTGCTGCCGCCACCACCGCGGCACCGCACACACGCTCACACGTCACAGCACACAGGCTCAAAGGCAGCGCGACCGCAGAGGGATTTTGAGGAAAGAGTGGGTGGTCGCCCATGTTAGCCCTCGGGCGTCTGGGCCTTCGACGAAAAAACGACATTTTTTTACAGGCGAGAGGCCGCGGACCGAGAACGCTTCTCACCTTGAAACGCCTGATGGTCCTCGTCCGCACTCTCACCAACCGTGACAACCTTTTCTTTACCGGCGTGACCGCGACGGCCGCGAGCGCGCTCTCCGCCGTCGGGACGCGCCTCTCATGGGCGCGCGCGGAGCCTCCGCCGCCTCCATCCTCGTCGGTGTGGCGGCTGGTCCCCGTGGCCGCGCGCTCCCTCGTCTCGGACGCGCGAAGAGCGCTCCCGTTCAACGCCGCCTCGCTGCTGCTCGGCGCCGCCGTCGGCGCCACCGCCGCCACCGCCGCAACTGCGGCCGTCCTCTTTGCGCAGCGGGAGCGGCGGGCGCGAAGAGTGCGCCTCCCTCAGCCCTTCTTGGCTGTTAACACGGGCGGGGCGGCGGGGGCGTCGAGCGCTCACAGCCCCTGTCCCCCCACCCCCACCCCTCGCAGAGCTCGCGCCGGATGCGAACCGCCCTCGCCGAGTCCCTGGTGAGCGCAGAGCCTGGGGGCGCCGTGAGAGGGGGGGGTACCAGATTGCCATCTCGCGCCTCGCCAATCGCAGGCGGACGAGGCCAACCGGTCGGCCGCGCAGCCGCTGCTCTCGCCCTCGCAGCGCTCCGTCCTCGTGCAGGTCCTGCTCCGATGGCTCTCCGCCACGCCCGCCTCTTTTGACGGCCCCGCTCCCTTCTCCAAGGGTGCGCGCCTCGCAACAAAGCAAGTGGGGGAATGAAGGATCCCGACCGTCGCCCGTCCCAACTCCGCAGGCGCGCCGCCCGAGACGCGCGCCGCCGCGCTCCTCCTCGCGCGCGTCCACGCCCGGCTAGCCCTCGCCCGCTTGCACGAGCCGCCCTCTGCCGCCCCCGCCGCCCCCGCCGCCCCTGTCCCCGCCGACACCGACGCGGCCGCTGTCGCGGGCGGCGCGCCTTGCGCGGAGGCGACGGCGTGCGCGGCGGGCTGCGGCGGCGGCGGTTGCGCGGCGGGCGAGGGCGCCGGCGACGCCCTCTCGCACGAGGAGTCGTGCAAGGTGTGCTGGGGCGCGCGTGCCAACACGATCTATGCGCCGTGCGGGCACGTCGTCGCTTGCCTCGAGTGCACCGCGCGGCTGCGCCGCCTCTGCTGCCCCGTGTGCCAGGCGAACGTCAGCGACGTGATCCAGCTCTTCACCACGTGATGCCCGGGCGGGGAATGCCGAGGGGGCGAGGCTGTTCCGCCCCCCTCCCACTGGCACCCTCGCACACGGCCGACAAAGCCGCCTGTGTTTGGTTGCACGGGCCTTCTACTGGGCGCGCAGCCGGGGCCTCTCTAACCGCCCACCATGCATGTTTGGTGAAGTCCCGGGAGCGACAGCTTCGATGACGATGTTGTGTATAGCGGGGCAGATCTACGTCTGGGGGGGGGAGGGGCGTGTGACGTGTGTCGCGCAGCTCGATGAGCTTTTTTTGTGAGTTAAGTGCGTGTGGCGAAGGGGAGCGAACGCCCGCGCGCCCCGGCTGCATGCGGCATGGTTTTTCTAGCGGCGCCGGCGGGTACCGCGTACCGGGTAGCGGGTTTATTACGATTATCCACTCCCGGAGTGCCACTCGCGGACTCGAATACGTAGCTCGTGTCGTGTCGTCAAGGCACGGGGGTCGGTGCACGGCCCGGGGGCGGCTGCCACGTGCCAGGGCTGGCGTGTCGCACGGGAAGGTGTGGTGAGAGGCGGCCAGCCGCGGCCGCGGCGCCCGAGCGAGGGGCACGCTGCTGCTACACGAGCGGCCAGTCGCTGAAGGGCGTCAGGGGACCACTCGATTTCTTTGCCGCCACGAGGGCCTGAGACCAGGGAAAAGGGGGAGGGCGTCGGGAAACAGCTGTCGGTATGTAGATGCAGCGAGCGGCAGGTGCCTGAACAGAGTTGCCAACGACCATGCCAGTGACGAGAAGGCAGAGAACGAGCGTACCTGAGCGCGAGCGTTGGCCAACGGCTGGGCTGGCGACGAGGGAGCGGGTCGGCAGATGCACGACCGCGCCGCACCCGTCTTGTCTTCAAAGTGCTGCGGTCGCTTGTACTCGAGGGACGAGAAGCGCAGAAAGTACATTCGCAGCGCGTAAACCACGAACGCGAGCGCTGGTATGCTGAGAGCAATGCCAACCGACTGGATGGTGAACGAGTTGCTCGAGGTCTGCGGGAGCGCGCAAGGGCTAAGCGGGCACTACGGCTGCGTGCAGGTGGGCCGGCTATGTCTACCTGCAGGGCAGCACCAAGCACAGCAAGCGTCATCGACAGCTCATACCACATGAGGAGCGTGCGTTCGTTGGCAAAGTACGACCGCGGCTCCGTCCGCACAGGGAAGACGATGTCGGCTGGCGGCACGAATCCCAGCATCGTGGGCGCGGCCGCTGGAGGCGTCGCGCTGCCAAGCCTAAGTCACCCTGCCCGCCCCCCCTTGGCGTGCGCAGCGCAGTTCGCCGACGGATGAATAATCGTGCGTCCGCAAAATACACTTTTTTCAGTGTACTCTCTCTCTCAGTGTATGTAGCTCTTACGTTTTTTTAATGTACGTACTTTTAGCTTACTGGGAGAAAAGAGACTCTCTCTCAATGTATGTGGCTCTTACGTACATTCCCGGAGGAGGACTTTGGCCCCTCTCAGCTTTGCGCTGTGATTCTGTGCGAGTCTGTGTCTTGATTTGCACAAGAACCTAGCGTTGCTTTACTTCCTCCCTGCTAATAACCCGAACTTCGTTTCGGCCGCCGCAGCCCGATCCACCCGCCGCACCGCAGCGGTACCCAGGACCTGCTAAAGAAGTTCCATGCACGTCGCTGTGTTTGGTGGCTCTGGTTTCGTGGGAACGTTTGTGTGCCGAGCCCTGGTCGGCTGCGGCTGTGTCGTCTCCTCTGTGTCCCGCAGCGGGGATGAGGCCAGCCTCGGAAGCTCAATGCGGAGGCTCGACGGAGAGTGGACGTCCCAAGTGCAGTGGCTGAAGGGAGACGCTGCAACGGACCCCGCCGCTGCTCTGGCCGACGACGTGGACGCTGTCGTCTCATGCATAGGCGCCCCTCGCCCTCCCATCTCTTTCCTGCTCGTTCCAACGTGGGTCCCTGATCGCACCTTGCCCCGTCCGCAGGCTCACCGGGCGCCCAGCTGTTGTACGCCGACGCAAACGGTTGGGCCAGCGGATGGACATGGAGTCAAAGAAGCGAGTGCCAGTACGCTGACAACTTCCTTCCGAACGCGCGCCTGGCTGCGGCGGCAAAGGCTGCTGGCGCCCAGAGATTCGTTTACGTGGGGGTGAGCTCGGAGGCCGAATGGGGGTTTGGCGGGCCAAACCCGGGCCTTTACACCGGGAAGCGGTCCGCCGCGTTGGCCGCGCTGGAGGAATTCGGGTCGCAACAGTTCACCTACTTCGGGCCGGCCCGCGTCGTGGGCAGCAAGGCATGCCCTGCTGTGGAGCAGAGCCAGCTGGCGCACCGGCGATACTAACTCAGCGCGCCGCGAGAGGCGAATCTGGGCGACTTTGGAGGCGCAGTTCTCGAGCTTGCCGTCGACGATTGATGTCGGGTAAAATTGTCACTGCCGTCGGGGAAGGTCTTCTCTCAGCAGGCCGAGCGCCGTGGCGCTCGCCGCGAGTCGCGCGAATTTATCAGTGGGCCAAAACTCGCGATACCCCGATACTAACTAGGTGAGTGTTGGCAAACAAGACACAAAACGCCAGGCTACAGACTACAACATACCTACGACGATAGATGGGGTACCAAAGCAGTGTCTTCGGCCTGTGAGACGCATGCTCACCTGCCTCCTCGCCACCCTTTCACTGCAGCCGCCCGCCGTGGCCGATCGCGGCGCGATCGGCCGCCGACTCGCGATCTCCAGCTTTGCCACCGCGGCGGTGGCGTCCCTCGCATCGCCGCTCGCAGCATCGGCTGCTCCTCCGAAGCCCAAGCCTGTGTGGGCGCTGCCGAAGAAGAAGGACTCGCGGCCGCCTGGCGCCAACAAGTGTAAGATGGACAAGCCTTGCGCTGACGGGGTCGCGTCACAGCGGCGGCGGCCTTGCGGGATGCGGAGCTGCTTGATCAGTCGTTTCGCGCCTCTGTAGGCTGGTCTTAAATGGGATCCGGTGGCGCTGGGAGTGAAGGCGGCCGAGAAGAAGAGCTTCAAGGGCGAGATGAAGAAGGCCGGGACCTTCTACTACGGCACGCAAGGCGGCAAGAAGAGGGCAGCGGCCAAGGCGGCGACGAGACCTTCGCGGCTGCGCGAGCCGGTGCGCAGGGTCTTTGTGACCCGCCCGTGATCTAGCTTGCGACGTGCAGGCCTGCGCCTGGTCGACCGTCAAACTCGCGCTTGGTACGGGTCTATCCCTCAAGGTCTATCTTCCCCGTTGCCTGTCACCAGTACACGTCCAGAGAGAGATAAGAGTTCACCAGCTCAGTTCTCACTCAACCCAAAAGCTAACTTTAGATCTAAACACTAAAGAGTTGGGCGGGGACTTGCTCCTTTATACGACTCGTATTACCCATCCCCTAGTAGATGTGTCCGTTTTTATTGATTTAAGCGAAACCGAAACGCTTCCTGGCGGTGCCGGTGCGCGGTGGCGGCTGGCGGTGGCGCGCGCCCCTCGTTTGGTGGATGGTGGCTTCGCCAAGACTTTCGGCAATGGCATACCACATTTAATACCATTACCAATGGAGAACGTGGTTTGCGTTTATTGGGTCAAAATGACGGTCAAAAACATATGCCCTTTTCGCTCTGAAAGAGAGGGGCTGGGCAGGGTTACCCACTCGATCACCCACAGCCACACAGCCAGACGACGGGGTGAACGGTGAGGGTCCCAACCAAGGAGATATTTCTACTTGGAGCACTTGGAGTGCAGTCATCAACCTCACATCCAGGGCCGGGGAGCTAAGAAGCGCACCCAGCGGGCCAGATGATCGGTATCGGGTTACGGGCTAGAGAGCCCTAGCCCTGGGGGGTGCGCGTTCGCAAGGAAAGGGCCGTCAAGTAAACACGCCTACACGGTTCTGCGAGGGTTGGCTCCGCGCTCCGGGTTTCCCCTAGCAGCAGAACGCCCCCTCTACTCGGAGCTAGTAAACACCAGACATGGACACGTGACGACACACACTCCCACTTGGCGATGGCTTTCTACTCTCTGTAGCATCATCGCCGCCCAGGCCTCGCTAGCAGGGGCGTTCCGATGTGTTCCGATGTGTTACGACTCGCTCTCCACACCCCAGCCCCTCCGCAGTGTCACACGCTTTTGGTCGAAGGTAACCCCCCTCCCCCGTACCCCCCCCACCCCTTGGACGCGTCCACCCTCCGTCCAAAACTCACCTTCCCTCTTTTACATACATAAATTCTACCCTCTCCATCGTCGAGGGCGCAGGCCTCCCCTCGCGATCCTTCACAGCAGCTTTACACGGCCACTCTCTCTATCGCCGGCAGCAGATCGCTAAAAAAAGGTCCGGGGCGGGGTGGGTCGGAACGGGGGCGGGGTGGGGCGGGGTGGGGCGGGTGTTTGAGGGGAATTCAGACGGCGGCTCTTGAGGTCGACACGAAGCGAGCACGACGGCTTCTAAGGAAAGCCGTCGTCAACCAGGGGCAGCTCGCGCAGTCAGTTCTTTTCTGCAGGAGTCGCTTAGGTGACTGACTCCCGTGGTGTACCAACACAGTCCAGTGCGCGCCAGTACCGTGCCTATAGTGCTGCGGTGAGAGAGCCAGCGCGATGGTAAAATTCTTTTGAGAGGGGTGACTTGGACCACCAAGAATTGGCTAGGGCTGCAGAAGCAGCGTATCTCAGTCGTTCTTCACACGGCAACCGCAGAGCAGATTGTGAATGAGCTTGCCTGGAGCCTGCGGCGAGCGGGCGAGGGCGGTCGAGTGCACGGAGCTAAGTGCCTCACCGTCCTCGCAGGAGTCGCTTAGGCGGCTCCCGTGGTGGACCTGTGTGTGCCAGTGCGCGCCAGTCCCGTGTCTGGTGTTGTCAGACAGCGTTTTATTTTTTATTTTTCGTGCGGTGTGCCGGTGTGTGTGTGCTAGTCTGCGCCAGTCCCTCGTTGTGCCAGTGTGCTGTGCGAGAGGCCTTTATTCAAGAACTCCATTGGAACTCCATTGGTTAGGTTAGGATTGGTTACCGTGTTGTTCCTTTGCGCGCGACTCCTTGCGCCGTGTGTTTTCTTTTTGCTGGTGTACCTGTGTTAGTGCCAGTGCGCGCCAGTCCCGTGCCCAGTGTAAAAGAAAGAAAGAAAACGGACAACCCAAGGGAGAGGTTCTAAAATTCTTTTTGCGTGCCCAAAGAAGGGCTCGGAGGTGTACTCGAGTAGATGCCGAGCGAGACGTTGTCGCTCCCACCACGAGAATTCTTGAGCGCGAGCGTGCAACCCGAGCCCCGCAGCGAGGAGACCTTGCCCACGACCGCGCCCACGACCGCGAGCGAGGAGCGAGGCGCCGAGGGCCTGCAGCCACCCGAGTTGCACCAGCAGCCACAAAAGGGCGAGGTTGCAGCCACAAAAGGGCGCTCCAACGGTCCAGCAAAACGCTGGAGCTATGAGGAGGAGCGGCGGCTGCAGACTCTCGTGGACGCCAATCGTCGGTGTGGATGGGACGTGATCGCGCGAGATCTCGGCAGCGGCCGGACCGCGACATCGGTCCAACAGCACTATGCCATCATGGCTAAGAGGACTCAGCCTCCCAGCACTGCGCCGCCGCTACACTGCACTCCGCAAGCAGCCGCCTCGACCACGGCCTCAACGTCGCCGCCAGCGGCCTTGGCGGCCGCCGCGAACGGCTCACACGCTGCCGACGCGTCACCCGCGGCACCGCAGCCAGCCGCGCCGGGCGGCCCGCTCATTCCACCGGCCGCAAGCCAGCCGGCCGCAGCCGCGGACACGCTCTCTCGCGATGGGCGGCCGGCTCATCCCACCGCCGCTGCTGACCCTGCTCATGCTGTCGCTGTGGCTGCCGCAGCCACATCGAGCGGCGGCCCTGCGGCTGTCGCAGAGAGCAACGGCCCTTCGGCCGCAGTCCGCGGCGGCGCTGCGAGCAGCGGGCGGAGTGGTGAGCGGTGGAGCAGTGACGAGGAGGCGAGGCTTCGGCACCTCGTGGCGACGATCGTGCCGCGCCGGTGGGAGACGATCGCGCGGGAGCTCGGCAGCGGCCGCACGCCGGCCTCGGTGCGCGCGCCACGTCGCGCTGCTGCCGCCGCCCGGTGCCGCCTGCCACCGCGCGCTCACGAGCTCCCTCCGCCGTGCACCAGGTGCAGCAGCACTGGGCGAAGGCGATGTTCAGCGGCGGAGGCGGTGGCGACAAGAGCTGGTACGGCGTGCGCGGTGGCCCAAACCCCGGCGTATGCAGCAGCTGGGACGCGGCGCGCAAGCTGTCGCACGGAGTGAGCGGCGCGCGCGTCAAGAAGTTTGCCACCGAGGCGGAGGCACGCGCCTTTGCGCGCGTGCTCACGCCGACGCAGGCGAGCGAGGCGCTGCTGCTGGCCGCGGCGGCGGCGGCCCACGTCTCGGAGGGCGGTTTGGCCGGCTCCGAGGGGGCGCTTGCCGGCCTGCAACCCAACCTTGCCTCTCAAGCGCCGGCGACTTCTTCTCCCGCCGCTGCCGTGGCGCAGGAGCAGCAGCGCCAGGAGCAGCAGCAGCCACAGCCTCCGAAGCCAGCATGGCCAGCGGCGTACCCAGTCGTTGTGACCAAGATTGCGTCGGAGGCGGAGCTGGCTGCAGCGGTCTCAGTCGCGGTGGCGGAGCCCTGCAACTCGGGCGAGGCGCTGCCACCCTCGCGGGGTGGGGCGGGCGCGGACTCGGACGGCGGCCGAGGGCGGGCCAAGGCGCCGCGGTGGAGCGCCGACGAGGAGCAGAAGCTCGCCCAGCTACTTGCGGCCAAGGAGGCGCGCGGCGGCTCCGCACACGCCCACCGAGCCCACCGCCCCACTCTCCGGCAGCCACCAGCCCCACTCCAGCCGCCCCCGCCGCCCACCCCGCCCTCTACCCTCCCCGCGCGGCAGGCCACAGGGCAGACGTGGGGCGCCATCGCTCGCGAGCTGGGTGCGAGACGCGACTCCCGCCCTCGAGGCGCGCCGTGCCCCGCGCGCCCCCCCACCCCTCCCGTCTCATCTTTCCAGGTACCAACCGCACCACTACGTCGGTACAGCAGCACTGGGCAATCATGAACGCCAGGAAGCAAAAGGAGGCCACCGCACCCGCCGCACCCGCCGCGCCAGGCGACACGGTCGCGCATGCGGCTCCAGATTTGGCATCGTCAAGCAGGGAGCCTAATACGCTCGCCTCAGCGGCCGTCGTCGGCCGTCCCTCTGCGCTGCCGGACGGGGCCGGCGCCACAGCTAGTCCCGGTGACGACGCCGTCGCCACCACACCCGCTGCTGCTGGCCTTGCCGCCGACCCCGCTGCTGCTACTGCTGCTGCTGCTACTGCTGCTGCTGCTGCTGCTGCTGCTGTTGCTGTTGCTACTGCTGCTGCTGCTGCTGGCGCTGGCGCTTCTGGGGCGGCCGGCGGCAGCAGCGGCGGCGAGGCGGGCTCGACGATGGCAGCCAGCAGCGGCGGGGTGGCCGACGCGCAGCGCCAGCGCTCCGGGTCTGCGCGCTGGAGCGGGCAGGAGGAGGCGCGGCTGCAGGAGCTGGTCGAGCGACAAGAGGGGGGGTCGAGCAACTGGCAGGCGGCCCCCACGGCTCCGCGTGTAAGCGGCCCCCTCCCTCCAGCCGTCGGAGCGCTGCCACGGTGCGCCCTTAGGCGATTGCGGCCGACCTCGGGGGTCGAACGGCCACCGGCGCGCAGCAGCACTATGCCGCCATGGCCAAGCGCGCGGGCGGCGTTAGCTCGCCGGTGGAATCGATGGCCATGGACGACCGCCCGTGCGAAAAGGACGCGCTGTGCACGCGCGGCTACAGGCACCTGGGGCGGGGCGGGCCTTGTTCGCGCAAGCCGCGCCTCAAGCGAGCGCGGGACGAGGCGCGCGCCCTCGCGAACGTGTCGGCGAGTCGAGACGCTCCTCTCACCCCACCCACCTCTCCTCAGGCTCCCGACCCCGGCGACGCTGGAGAAGCTGGGGCGGGCCTCCTCTCGCTGGATCTGGGATCGCTCGACCCTCTGCCAGAGCCCATCGATAGTCCGCCCTTCTCGCCCTCCCCGGTCGGGTCGCCACGAGAGGCTTCCGTCTCGGCGGCCGGCGCTTCCTGGGAGGGTCGGGATTTGGCAGCGGCGAAGGCCGACGCGGCGGCACCAGCGGAGGAGCCCGCGGCGAGCTTTGCGGCCGCAGCCGAGCCAGCAGCCGAGAAGGCCGAAGCCGCGACGGCGCCCAGTCTCGGCCCACAATCGGTCGAGGTGGGTTAGTGGCTAGCGCGGCGGACGTCGCGAGGAGTCAGCAAGGCAGACAGCTCCTCCATGCAGAGCCGAAGGCGAAGCCCCGCGCGGAGGAAGAGCGAGACGGGTACCGCGACTGTGTCTCAGTCTGGCGCTAATCTCGCTTCGTGATCGTGTCGGGGGTGTATGCCTGCTGCCCGCTGTGCCCTGGTATCCGCTGTCGCGTGGTTGGTCTGTGAAGCGTGAACAGGCACAAGCTCAAGGGAAAACCGTTCCCCGCGCGTCAGCACTCCCCTTCCCGCCGAGCACCGACCCGAAAAAGCGTGTCTCGAGTTTGTTGCAGCCAGCGCGCGCTGCCGGGACGCACCGCTTGCTGGATCTGTGCACTCCCTGGGACCCAGGGAGTGCACAGATCCAACAGGAGTGAGTAGACTCGACGCCGTACTCGAGATGGAGCTGCAGAAAGTACGCCGCCGAGCGTGACACCGAAGGCGTCCCGTCGGAGGTGATGGAGTGTGAGACCTGAGGCTGCGGAGGTGACGCCTGAGGTACCGGCCCGTGTACGGCGACTCAGCCGGCCACCGCCACGGGCTCAGACGAGACTTGTCGACGCGTTACGGCTCAGCTTCACCGTGGTTGCACAAGACCCGCACCCGCTCCCACTCCGGCGTGGGGAGTGCCAGGCGGGGCGGCGAGCGGAGATGGAGAGGGCGGTGCTTCGTTGTTGCGCGAGAGCGGTGAGAGCCAGTCTCCGAGGTCGTCTTGCTCCATAGGATTCGAACAATACGAGGCACCCGCGGCACGGCCCCGCTGTCGGCTCTCGCGGGCTGCGGAACCGGCCCCAGGACGGGCCGGTCCGGGCGAGTGTGACAGCTCCTGCGCTAGTATGGGCACCCTCTATCACAACACTACTGATTGGTCATTAGAGCTGCCAGGGATAGCGTCAGGAGCCGGTAGGAGTCAAAACCCCTCATATTTGAGACATCGTGTCCCATATACTCGCACAACGCGAGCCGGCTCCGGCTCAGGTCAGAGGGCCCAGCGACTCGTCGGTTGGGTGTAAACGGGCATTGCCTGTGGTCTTCAACGCACAAAGGGTGTGAATAGAGCTCTCTCAATCCTTCTGAGCACGAAGACCACTCGAACTCTTCTGCAGACTCTAGTGTTTCCGGTTTTCATAAGCTGTGAATAGTTATTGCGCCCGCCGCAGCCCGCCCTATTCACCTGGGTTTCGCCAGGCCACGAGAGCCCTGTGGAAGAGCCCAGCTGGCATGTTCTATCGCCCGGGTGTCGGGCTGTCTGCATACAGACGTCTCGTCGCCGTGGCCGACGCATGGCTGGTCCGACGTGTGGAGGAGTTTGACCTCAGCCAGGCCGTCGGTGTCGGCGGGCTGACGGCGGCCGCCGGAATCGCGATTCGCTCTGCCAGCTGCCAGCAGCCTCGTGTCGCCGCTCTCGTTGGCGCAGCAGCAGCGATTGACCTTTGCGCCGTCGCTCGACGGCGTCACCGCCCATCCGACCCGCGCAGCTCCTGCAGCTCCTGCAGCTCCTGCTGTCAGTCTTCTGCTCTCACGCACCTCACTCGCCGCGCGCGGATTGTGCGCCGCGCCAAGCAGAACACGTGCTCATGCAAACAATGCGAGAACTTGGTTGCGCCGCTTAGTGGCGGCGCTGCTTTAGAGGAAGCGGCAGCGTGGGAAGCAAAGCAGATGGAGGCGGCGCGGCATGCCAAGGAGCTGCTGCTGGCGGAGGTTGAGCGGCTAAGTGCAGCAAGGGCCCAAGGGCAAGAAGGGCAAGAAGAAGAAGAAGAATGTTGGCGTGGGCGATACGGGCGCCGCTAGGCTCAACGAGGAGTGCTGTGCAGTTAGAGAGCTCGTAGGACGTAGCGAGCTCGATTTTGATGAGAATTTGATGAGAAATATCTCAATTTTGAGCAAAAAACGCCAAAAAAAATCGGCGCCTGCGGCGGGCCAGCCTCCGGCGGCGCCTGCGGCGGGCCGCTGCCCAGACCCCGTTTACACCCGAGCTATGCCCCACGACCTGAGCCGGAGCCAGCCCACCGACCACACCGTCTTGAGAGGGGTTGAGCTGTCATCCGACTTCCGGGCCCACGTGCCTTGAAGTTTTATGTACGCAGAGATGCATTGCAGTATAGATGTGAGCCTTGTGGGAAATATGATCGCCGGCGAGCAGTGCCGCCGCCACCCGGTCCCATGCGAGAAGATCTCGCTAAAGTGACAAGACAGGCGAAATTCTGCGCGCCCAATCACACAAGGGAGTACTGCGAATTGTGGCAGCGAGAGCCGGCGGTGGGTTCTGACGCAAGGTGGTCCGGCAATGTACTCGGCGGCGCCGGGACAAGACCGGGGTGCGCGGCTCCCCTCCCCCGTGCCCCCCCCCCCCCCCCCTCTCTAATAAAACTCGAGCCGGCGCGTCTTGATTGGGGCCCACCGCACGCGCTTGTAGTACCAGGTGAAGCCAAAGAGCACCGTCAGGGTGAGCATCCACCTGCGCGCGCAGTCGGCCGCGGCTGGGCGGAGGGCGCGGGTGGCGGGTGGCGGGGCGACGCGGCGCGCACTTGACGCCCATCAGCTTGCGCTCGTCCGCCTCGGGCTCCGCCGCCCACGTGAGGAACGTGCAGACGTCCTTGGCCATCTGCGTGGCGGTGGCGGGCGTGCCGTCGTCGTACTCGACCGCGCCCTCGTTGAGCGGCATGGGCATGCCGATCCACGCGCCGGGGAAGTACGGGTTGTAGTACTGCGTCTCCCGCTCCGCGACGCCCGCGGGCGGGTCCTTGTACCCCGTCAGCAGCGCAAAGACATAGTCGGGCCCGTTGTGCCGCGCCTTCATGATGAGCGAGAGGTCGGGCGGGTAGGCGCCGTTGTTGGCGTAGCGCGCGGCCTCCTCGTTGGGGTACGGCGAGGGCAGGTAGTCGGACAGCTTGCCCGGCCGCTCAAACATCTCGCCCTCGTCGTTTGGGCCGTCCATCACCTCGGTGTCCTCGGCCATGGCCTTGACCTCCTCCTCCGAGTAGCAGACGTCCACCTGTCCGCGCGGCGTGCGGCGGTCGGGGGCCGCGGCGACGAGCAGGCGCGTGCCCCTGCGGCGCGGCGGCGGCGGCAACGCGGCGGCAGCATATGCGGCGGAGCGGGCGGCGGAGCGGGCGCACCAGGTTGCGGTACGCGATGCGAGCGAGGCCGTGGCACGAGGCGCAGACTTGTGTGTACACCTGGTGGCCTCGGCGGACCGAGGCCGCGTCGTACGACGACATGAACCCCTTGAAGTCCCAAGACTGGTGCGGCGCGTGGATGACGTCAGAGGCGTGCACCGTCGACACGGACGCGACAGCGACAGCGGTGCCGGCAGCGACCGCCGGCGCGAGCAGCGACGACTGAGCCAGGGGAAGAGGCGGTCAGACGGCACAGCGACGGAACGGGGCGCACAGTACTCTCTCTGCGCGCCTGTGCGCCGCGCTCGGCAATCTTCTGCAGCGCAGCGCGCATCGCCCGCGCGGAGGCCATCGCGCGCGAGCCTGTGTGGGGCACGGGGAGGGAGAGGCGGCGGCGGTTCTTGGTCGTCGGCGGCAGAGAGAGTGGCCGTGGCGAGGCGCGGGAGCAGAGCCGGGAAGCGCCTTTGTGCTGCGCCCTGCTGGTCGCCTCAACCCAAAACGAGATGACCAGCTTTGCCTCATCAGGTGTGAACACCAAACCGGCACCTTTGTTTGCTCATCGGGTGAGCTTGTGTGCCTGTGTGTCGCTCGAGCGTTCTCCTGTCTCGCATCCACCCATACCGCGTTGGTGTCCAGTCCTAGTTGATGCGGTCGTGACGGTGATGAGCACGGTGGACGGCGAGCGGTACGAGGTTCGGACTAAGAGACCGGACAGCACCGGCAAGATCCGAACCTTGGTTGTTCATCCAAGCAGCATCGTGGCCCTCTCCCTGTGCGCAGTCTGCGCAACGTTGGCGCCCAAGGCGACGAGTCTCGACTGCGACGTCTGCGGAAAGCTGTACTGCTCGGAGGAGTGCCAGCGCAGGGACCGCGACAACGGCCACGATCGCGAGTGCCGTCACCGCAGCGTTCTCTTGGAGGCCTTCCGCGACCGCTCTCGGCGCCTCGGCGATCTTCCGAGGACCTCATCTTTGGTAGCCGGCGAGTTGCTGGACCGCGCCTCACCTGTGCCTTTCTCATTGCCGACCTGAGAGGGCAGCGCCACCCTGTACTCCTGCTCTCCTTCACGCGGCGCGAGGGCAAGGAGCCCCTCTGCCGCTGTGACACAGTCGAGCAGTCCGAGGTGCGCCCACTCTTTGTGCGCATGCGATTGGCTGCGGGCGAATCCGGCATCATCAACACGGAGCGGATCATGGAGCGCAATCGTGTGTTTGGCGACAGCACCGCGCTCTGTTTTGAGATGGCCCAGGGCTGCAGCCTCGAGATGCGCGAGTACAGCGGCGGGTTGGTCTTTCAAACCACCAAGAGCATCAAGTCCTTTGATGAGATTTGGGCTCAATACCGGACCGACTTGCACTGGTTTGGCATGCGAGGGCACATCCGGTCAATGGAGCCGTCCGAGCGTGCGCAGCAGATCGCGGAGCTGGTTCGCGAAGGCATCGGCGGGTACGCCTATCGTCGCATGTTGTGGCCGACTGGGCGCTCTGCGCCACCGCTGGCCGAGAGGCAACAGTGGGTGCGGCGCTTGGAGACGCTTGGCTGGTTAGACACCCCGGAGAACACGCGGGAGACCGTCCGCCAGACCGGGAAGCGTTTGCCCGACGAGTACGACCAAGTCGAGGCGGACCTCGCCGCTGTCCGTCGCCGGCGTCGCCGCTCCGGAGGCGCGAGCGACGAGGCGCGCGTGATCGCCAAGGCCGGGGCGCTCCGCCATGACGGTGAGCAGGCCATGAACAGGGGCCGAGCGGCCGTTGCGCTCGACCGCTACCAGCAGGCGATCGAGCTCCTCCAATTTGCGTCTGAGCCTGCTGCGTTGACGTCGCTGGCTGAGCCCTGGTCTGACAGCCTGACAGCAACCCCCGGACAGCGCCTGACAGTGCCCGACAGCCTGACAGCGCTGACAGCACTTTCTCTGACAGTCTGACAGCACGTGTCTGACAGCCTGACAGCAGAGTCTGGCAGGCGAGGGGTTCCGTCGCTGTCAGGCCCTAACGTGACAGCCTGACAGCTGCCTGACAGCCCGACAGCACACAGTGGCCTGACAGCAGCGCTGACAGCCTGACAGCCTGACAGCAGCACAGGAGGCCAGCAGCGCAGAGTTTTTTGAGGAGATCCGTAAGCTGCTGGCAGATTTCAACGTCTCCATCCAGGAGGAGTCAAAGGATCGCAAGCTCCGCTTCCACGTCAAGCGGCTCATCAAGTCCCATCAGCAGCGGGGCGAGGATGTGGATGAGGAGCTCGACTTCTACATGGATGATGATGACGGTGACCACGCCCTTGCCCGCCTGTCACACACACACATAAGACGTGCATCCTCATCTCTCCCTCTTCTCTTTCTCTTCGCAGTTGCGGTGCTCTTCACCATGGAGGACAGCTCCAAGGTCTTTGCCATCGGCAACATTGAGCAGGTGGCCGTCGCCGACGGCACAGTAGACGCGCGCCGCGCCACTGGCAGCTCCAGCGCAGAGTACCTGCGCCAGCTCTCCATGAGTCAGCGCAGCAACGGGGTCTTCATCAACGACCCCAAGGGCCTCTTTATCCTCCGGTGGTACCGTGAGGTGAAGGGTGACGGGACCCCCCCAGACGGCCCGCGCTACCAGAACAGAGCGTGCAAGTACTACAAGCTGACGAGCGACAACGATGGGGAGGCCTTCCGCTGGACCAGCAACTACCAGATCATCAGCAAGGTGTACCTGAAGAAGCACTCCACCCTGCCTCTCTGCTATTCTCTCAGTGCGGCAGACAAGAAGATGGTGACGTCCACCATGAAAAAGATGGTGGGACCGGAGGCAGAGTAGAGGCTAGAGTATGTATGTGTAGTAGAGTCCTGCTGGTCTCCTCTTGATAGTGTCATAAGTGTGGCTGGTGTGTGTCAGAGCCTGACAGCACCCCGACAGCACCACCTGACAGCACCTGACAGCAACAGCCCACCGTCTGACAGCAGCAGCAGCCTGACAGCTCTGACAGCTCCGACAGCGTCTGACAGCAACACCCGACAGCTCCGACAGCACCCGACAGCTACAGAACCCCTCGCCTGTCAGACATGCACCCGACAGCACCCGACAGCACTGACAGCACCTGACAGCTGGTCTGACAGAGGCACCTGACAGTGCCTGACAGCTGCCCGACAGCCCGACAGATCACCTGACAGCACCTGACAGCCTGACAGCCAGGGCTCAGGTCGCTGGTGCGCAGCATGTGCTTGCGCGCCGAGGCCTTCTGCACTATGGGGAGCGTTAGCCAAGCGCTGGAAGATGTTGAGGACGCGTGCGACATCCTCTCTCACCGTTCTCTCGAGGCGCACTCGCACGCAGCCCTTGTGGCTGAGCTGGAGAGGGTCCGGAGACGTGCCGTAGACGTCGAGGCCGCTGCGGAGATAGAGCGGGAGGAGCGGCAACGGCTGGAGGCACGCGCTGTGGCGGCGCAGGAGGCGGCGCAGGAGGCTCGCGTGGCAGCGCGGCGCGCAGAGGCTCAGAGGCGGAGGGAGGCGGCCGAGACGAGACGGGCGCGTCGAGCGGAGCTCCGGGCGAGGGCAGAGGCGACGGCGCCTCGTGCGTCGACATCGGAGGGCGGATCGGACGATGCTCAGGCGGCAACCGCAGTGCCGGCAGAGGACGAGGTGGAGGAGTGCTGCATATGCATGGAGGCTGGAGAAATGCCGCAGTGCAAGCCGTGCGGGCGGCACTCCTTGCACGTCGCTTGTGTGATGGCGTGGCGGCAGCAGTGCCGAAGTCGCGATCGAGAGCCAACCTGCCCGACCTGTCGGGAGCCCATTTGAGCCAGGGGGGGTGGGGGGGGGGAGCGGAGAGAGCGGAGAGAGAGAGAGAGA